ATTGGAACATAAATTGGTAGAATTTTCTGGAGGACAGTTTGGAAATACACGTTAAGTTTTAATATTTTCTTATCCACTTTTGCAGCAATTCCATCTCTAAGAATTTACCTGGGGGTGAAAGGAGTGGAGAATGGATTTACCCAGATATTTAGCTATAACAATATTACGAAAATTTGTACATATCTCAAATACTCAATGATACAGGGATTTGCTGAATAAATGCTGATCTCACCAAACAATTAAGAACTATGAGGCCACTACTAATGATATTTTGAAAAAATGCTTAATGATAGATAACTATTCATGTTTTTTGTGAAAGGAAGATAATAGCTTATAAAACAGCATATACTTTTTTAATTAAAAAATATGTATACAGGATCTAATGTACAGCATGATGACTATCGTTAATAATACAGTATTATATATTTGAAAGTTGCTCAGAGTAGATCTTAAGCGTTCTCACCACACACACAAGAGTATCTATGTTAGCTGTGTGAGGTGATGGCTGTGTGAATAATCTTAATCTTGGTAATTGTACATCTGCAATGCATCTGGATGTATATATTCATATATATCAAATTATCATGTTGTACACTTTAAATATATACAACTAAATTTGCCCATTATTCCTTAATCAGTTAAAAAATCCATATATACATACACTACATATAAACGTAAATAGAAAGAGAGAGGTGGAGACTGAGAATGGGAAAAATTTTCATTACACATTAAATGGTAACAGTGATTTTTATTTTAGGCTCATTTAAAACCTGCATAGACTCCTATAATGGTGAAAAGAACATTGAAAGGAATGTTAAAGAGTGCTCCAATGACTGTCATCTCAGGTGGAGTCCAAACCCTCAGCAGTGTGTCAGGCCCTGGCCCAGTGGCTCCTCCTGCAGCCGTACCCTGCAGCCACACGCCATTCCTGCTACTTCCCTAAGCGGGTTTCCTGTTTTAGCAGCCGTCTGCTGTTTCATTGCCCTGAATGCCCTCCTCCCTCTCTCCCACCTTGCTTCCTGCCTGCCTGCCCTCTCCTGGGTCACCTCTCCCGGGAAGCCGTCCCTGGCCACCCAAGCAGAGCTCCCCATTTTCTGCTCTCGCCCTTCCCTGTGCGTGCACTATTTTTGTACCTTGAATAGCACTGCCATTATGTTTACACTCCTCTCTCATGAGTCAGTTGAGGATTAGGCCAGGTTCTTAATCATCCTTGTTTACTCAGCATCCAGCACAGTCCTGGATAAATGTTTATGGAGTGCACAAGTGAACGAATGAATCAACCAGTCTCCTGAGCTCTGGGCTCACATACTTGCAGGACATCTGCACTCGACTACCCCATAGGTCTTTAAATGCAACACCCCCAAACTGAGCTTTGCATCTTCTCCCTGGGGAGCCTCAACTCCCCGCTCCTCATTAGCAGCGCTTGCTCTTTTGGTGCACTCCTCATTTCTGTGATTGGAGCCTCCCTCTCTGCAGGGACTGTCGACAGACCGTGGGGTCTCTTTTTCCTCCCATAGAAATTCCCCGTGGGCGATCAGTCCTTCCACCTGAAAGCCTTTTGCTTTGCTTTCCCTTCTTCCGCTGCATGCTGCTGCTGACCTCTCTCCCTCACACTCGCTCTCACCTGGACACATCTCATCTCTCATCTGTCACAGCCTCCTCATCTCGATGCCAATAACAACTCTGCAGTGGCTTCCATTTCCTCCCAGGTAAAGTCGAAACTCTTTACCAAGGCTTACCAGGGATCGAGGCCCGATCTAGCTCTGTCTATCTCTCCAGCTTCATCTCTCCTCCATCCCACCGCTTTCACCCTCTTCAGGAGCAAGCTGGTGTGTTCTTTTTTGCCTCTGTGCCTCTTGCACGCTGTTTGTTTTGTCTGGAAGACTTTTCCAACACTCTTGCCTCCCTAACTCATTCATCAAGCCTTAATCTAAAAGACGCTTCCTCCAGGAAGCCTTCCCTCACACGCCAGGTCCCAGTTAGGCCCTCTGATATAAACTCCCAGACCTCCCCACACCTCCCCCCACATACCCCTTCTCACACTGTATTTAATTGTTTACTTAATCACTCTTCTCCCTCAACAGACTGTAACCTGAATGGGGGCGGAAACCAAGCCTGCTTCTTCATGAACATTCCTTCAATGTCCAGCAAAAATTAAGTCCTTACTCAACAAATGGTTAGCATTCAGTAAGCAAATGGGGGAAGGAATTTTTGCTTTTGCTGTTGGCGATGCTGATTCAAACTTTGGGACCAGACAAGACATCTCGTTCTTCCTTTTCTGAAGAGGAGAGCAGCCCTGTGGCAGACAGTGCCCCTACCCTGCCCCAGGCCACTGATGGCCCCGCGAAGGCCCTTCGGAGGGAAGGCTGCGGTGCTGGGCCTTCCCAGGGGTGCGTTTCCTCCAATGGCCTTCCCAAGTATTCACAGCCAACTTCCCCATCAGTCATGAGTTTTTCCAAGACTCACAGGAACCTGCCCTAAAGAGTTAAGGAAGTTCTCTGCGTGTTTCTAAATACCACCTCCAAAATACTTTCAGAGTTCCTGAGTTAAAGATCCCAGGACTGAAACTTTGGATGGTGTCAAGTTCCCCGTGGAGACTCGGAGACGCTGCAGGGCTGGGGCTCAGGATGGCTACCGCCCCACCCTACCCCTACTCAGGATAGGAAAAGGAGCAGCGATGTTTGGGTCAGGCAGGCAGTAATGAGAGTGGGGGTCCAAAGTCTCCAATTGGCTGAGTCAGGTTCAGAGGAATCAGCACCCCTGGGCGGTTGGAGGGTAGCTGGGTAAACCAGGTTGGTGTGATGGATTGGAGTCTTATCACAAAAATTCACTCCCTTCCCCCCGCCCCCCTCAGGGCTGTGTGTAGTTTCTGCCTCAATAACTTTGACCTTGGCTATGGGATGTGTATGGGCCACTGGAATATGAGCAGACATGATGCGAGCAGAGGTTCTGGTGCGATTCTTCCCTGTTACATTCCTGTCAATCACAATGAGAAGAATATGCCTCAGGTCACCACTCCTCCTTCAGCCTGGTCCCCTGAATATATAAGTTTTGGACATTTTATTTTTAGATGGCTATTAGATATCTAAGCAGAGATGTGGATGATTTGCGGCTCAGGGGGCTGGTCTGGGCTGGAAATACACGTTGAAATCATCAGCAGATACAAGGCATTTAAAGCCTTGAGTCAGACGAGCTCACCAAGATGTGAGTCTGGGTGGAAGAGAAGTCCACTGAGAGAGTCTTGGTTTCTTCCAACATGCAGAGGTCAGAGAGATGGGATGGCATTAGCAAGGCAAGGGAGACGGAGCAGCCAGAAAGCCCGGCAGACAACCAGGCTGGTGAGGGGTCCTGGGGGCCAAGCAGAGAGGGGGCTGAGTTGGAGAAAGTGGTCAAATGTGTCCACAGCTGCTCAGAGGTCAGTGAATGAGATGCAGATGTGACCGGTGGGTTCAGTGACAGGGGTGTCATCAATGTCCTTGACAAGAATATATTTTGTGGAGTCGTGGGAGCAAAAACATCAACAGAAGGGGTTCAGAGAGAATAACAGCAGATAATTCTTATGGAAGCTTTGCTTAGAAATGAAGGAGAGAAATGGGGCTGTAGCCGAAGGGCCAAGTGGCATCAAGAGAGATTTTTTTTAAAAGGTGGGTTAAAAAATAGTAAGTGTGAATGCTGATGGAAATGATCCAGAAGAGAGAAAGAACTGATGAGGCGGTAAAGATGGGAGGTGATGACAATGTTTCATCTGCTGTAACCGGAGAAGCTTGAGTGTGGGCTCACACGTATGGAGGTGGGCAGATGTAGTGGTGGGAGCCTGCAGACATTCTCTTCCAGTTGCGTCAACTTTCTCCGTGAAACAGGAAGCCAGGTCATCAACAGACAGTGAGCATGTGGGAGGCGAAGAAGAAAGTGTGACAGAGTAGGCCAGGAGAGCTGAAGAATGAACGGACCAAGGATGTGTAGCTTGCATGCTGGCAGGCAGCGACTGTGGTGAGCACTTTGTACCTACTATTTAATAAATCCTCATGGCAGCCTTATGAAGTAGGGCTTATTATTTGCCCCATTTACAGATGAGGACATGGAAGCACAGAGTGGTCAAGAAACTTGTCCAAAGTCACACAGCAAGAAAGTGGGAGAGCCAGGATTTCAACACAGGCAGTCAGCTTCCAGGCCCAAATACTTAACAACTAGGTTAGGCTGACCCAGTTAAACATATGAAAGCTTGTTGCAGAACTGGACTAAATGGAATAAGGGTTGAATTATTGTGGTGCAACCACTGTGTGTCAAGGTCTGTAGTAGCCACCTTCACAACTTTGTTCAGTCATGGGTATTATCAACCCCATTTTACTGACAAGGACACGGAAGCCCAGAGAGATCCAGGTGCTTGTTAAAAACTGCAGAGCTAGGAAATGGAAGAACTGGGTTTGGGACTCATGTTGGTCTGATTCCAAAACCCACACCCTGTACACAATACCAGAAAATCGCTAGAGCGTGTGAGGGGGTCTACCCAGCCACAGCTAACTTATTAGCTAAATCCATCAGAACCCTCCCTACAGCGGGCTGGGCTCCCTTGGAACCTTTATCCTGAGCAGGTGGAGAGCTTACCATGTGGTCCTTACAGCAGGAAGAATTTAAAGGAAGGTGACTTTGGGGGAACACTGGTTATCTTACTGGCCATTTTCAGGTGCTTGATCCATTTGGTGAGGGGGAGGGGCTTAGAGGCAAATGGCAGGAATCCTGGCATTTTCTTCTTCTTTTAATCAGAATGCTAGCCTTATATCACAAAAGCACTCACTCTACTTGTACAAGCATTTCCAAAACCCGTTTTCTTGAGAAACAGTGCTCATCAAGCATCATCTACACTGAACAGCCACCCACTTCCTCAAATGCAAGGAAGCAGACAGTTAAAAAAAAAAAAAAAAAAAAAAGCCGAGAGGCCGCAGTTGTTTATCACGACCTCGTCTCAGGGAGGCCTGAGATTCTTTCGAACAGGAGCTCTGCTTCCCATGACGCACAGCGAAGTGTCAACTGGGATATTTCTGGTAAAACTGAAAGCAAGAAAAGCGAGGTGCACGCTTCACGAGGTCCCGGGCCCCGTGGGACTGTGGGTGGAATTTGGAGGGGTTTGGGTGCCATCTCCAAGTGACAGATGGGTGGACCTCTCATCTGAAAGGAGGAGACACGTTGGCCAGTCGACCTCAGACCCAAAGTTGCTTGTGAAGCGACATAAAGGGGAAAACACACACACACCAGCTGGAGGGAAGAATCGAAAAAGCAAGAAGGGTGCGAATCCTGACAGACTCGCCGCTTGGGCAGGGACTCGCCGGAACCAGAGGCAAAATGTCCCTGAAGTTGCCAAGAAACTGGGATTTCAACCTGAAAATGGAGGCTGCAAAAATAGGTACCGTCAATGTCTTTTTGTTACCTTTGCGGTTCTTCTACTTGAGCTCCCACTATTTGCATGTGGGTCTGCAGGGAGCACAGGCTACTTAAAAATGGGTCTCTCACAAATCTGGGTTTGGGGAAAAATTTGCATTCAAACGGATATGTTGGCTCAAAGTTCCCAAGCACTGGCAGGGGGTTCTCTTTCATTCGGAGGTGGCGGTGGCATGGAGCTCCTCAGTGTGTGGGACCTGGGGTACTTCGGATGGGCCAAGCCTACAGATCAGACACAAAACTGTGAGTTTTTCTCTATTTATCCTGGAAGGATAATTTGCCTCCTGTTTGGAACCTCATCCATATTTGGAGTGGTTTTTGATGGGAGCACTGAGAATAGAGTCTTTTGAAGTGCTTCCTCTGTGAGTAAACTCGAGGTGTCCTGTGTTCTGAGTCTGCTGGGTCTCCAGCCCCTCTCTGTGGACCTGGGGGGCTGAGATGGGGCTGCTTGTAGCAACAAATAAACAGTGAGGACAAGACAGGAACATAGAGACATTTGAAGGTAGAATAAAGACAATTTTAGTTATAGCGACAGAATGGAAGGGAACTCTTTGCTAGAGGAGCTAAAAAAGAGAGACACATTTTAGATTAATTATCTTAAGGGTCGCTGGCATGCTTTCTCAGCTCTCCTGGCCTTTCATTAATGACGATGGTGATCCGTTGATTTTAATCTGGCATGCACTTGTGATGAGTTTCTTTATGTGGGTTTCTTCTATTGAATCGATCACAGGACTTTAGTGTGGAGCAATTGGGCCAAGAGGGATTCTCTGTGTTTTATTCTTATCCCCGTTCAGCGGCGTGGTTTCCTTGACCTTAGACAGAGGTAAGTGTTCAGGTGTTTCCAGCGGCTTGGAAAAGTTTTGCTAAGAACAAAGTTTAGACTTGGGCCTCCAACAGTGGTTAATGTGCTACTAGAGTAAGCGGTCTACTGCAAAGTTACATAATGGACGGTTAACGATGTAGGTCTGAGAAAGGATTTGAAAGAAAATTGAGAGTAATCAGAGGAGCCATTTATCTTGGTGACCAGGGAGGTCCCTAATCAAGGTAGAAATCACTGCATGCTGAGGTCGGTCCAGAGAACAGGGAGTGTGTGTGCCTCTAAGCAAGAGATTTTCCTCCTAACTGCTGCTGATACCAATGCCCTTGGCTAATGTTATTCTATTATATGTCATCAAAATTGTTTTTAGAAGTAAAACTTCTATGGTTCTATTCCTTTGAAAGTGTCCTGCTTCTCTTCACGTGAGGTCATTCTACCTTCCCCTTATCCGTGTTTGAACAGGTCTTACTCTCCTTCTGTTTAAAACTGGGAAACGTGAGACAATTAACAGTTAAGTGATTTTTTTTCAGGGATCTAGGAAGTTACCACCTTCGAACTCATGTCTGAACATGCTCAGACCTGGGAGTGGGCTGGGTGGATTACATGATTTCTACCAATGCTTCCTAAATCACGGTCCCATGGATAGCCGGTATCAGTTACCTCCAGTTATTGTTAAAGATGCAGATTCCTGGGCACCATCCTGACTTATGGAATCAGAATCTCTGAGGATTAGGCCTAAGAATCTGTAATTTAACAAGCACCCGGCCCTCTATCCCACCTGATGAAAAGGCCTGCTGTACAGCTGGCATCTAAGTCAGTAGCCTTGAGAGTTACCATTCATCCAGCATGGAGCGCTGTGCCTGGTCTTAGTGGGCACAATATAAATATTTGTTGACTGAATGAATGAGTGACTAGAAGAAGATAACGTTATTTAGTATTATTTACTGAAAAAAAATTACCTAATGAAATATAGACGGGCCCTTGTCGTTATCCATGCTATTTACATGCTATTACATGCTATTACATGCTGTCACCCTGAGAGATGGGACTGCAGCCAGAATACCTTCATGAATGTCATGTCGATGGAGAGAGTCACTGACTCAACCACTGGATCTCAGGTCCCCTCTCCAGCATCCTGTGTCCAGGTGCGTCTGTAGGAACTGGCTTAACAATATATCAGAGATGCTTACCTCTATTAGGAGGATCGGTGGAACTGGGAGTCATGTCAGTCAAGCCAATGACCTGTGGTTTTCCCAGCCTGAGCTAGTAAGGAGTAGATCAGGGTTTCTCAGCGTGGACACTATTGATATTTTGGGCTGGCTAATTCTTTGTGATGGGGGCTATCCTGGGCATTACAGGATGTTAGCAGTATCCTTGGCCTCTACCTGCTAGATGATGGCAGCAACTACCCTGCCACCAGTTGTGACAACCAAAAATGTCTCCAGACATTATAAGATGCTTGGGGAGAGACATCTTCCCTAGTTGGAAACCACTGGAGTAGATGAGCAGCAAAAGGGTGTGATTTTAAGGCCACTTGGACTGGAACCCAAGTATTACCGCAAATTCACTGTCCAGGTCAATTTCCAAGAGGCTCTTATTAAGCTATAGTTTAAGGGGGAGGGGCAGAAGCACAGGGAGTGCACCAAGTGCAGCACATGCTTCAGGAAATAGCAAGACACTGGCCCAGGAAGAGGCCCCAGCATTTTTCTGGTGGGCTGCACTTCCAGTTTCCCCTAAATCTTTTGTGTGCTGAGTCAGGCTGGACTGAAAGTGGAAGTCCCTGAGAGTGGGGAAGGGACTCCCCACTGTACATCCATCTCAGAGAGCTGAGGAGGGCCCTGCTGGAGGCCAGGGCTGACCCGGAAACCACCACCTGGGCCTGGCAGTGGTGGGAGACCGGGACGCAGGCCCCCCTGCATCTGACCTATTGATCCTGGTAGGGAAGAGGGGTTGGAGGAAAAGGGGATGCAGAGCGAACAGACTTGACTTAAGTTGGAGCCAAGACCACACAGTTCCTTTTTTGATCCTTTATCATTTTCAATTTCAGTCTAGCAATTAAAGCTGTGACAGCCTTCTGTGGTTTTCATGCACTGTTACTCCAATCTTCTACTCTTTCACATATTTGTCTTTCTCACTGAATTGTAAGCCCTGGAGGGCGGGTTCTAGGAGGCAGCATCCCTTCTTGCACACTGTCGGGGGCCTGGCACATCCACTTCCTTGCCTGGAGGCTCCATCGAGAGGGTATTGATCATCCAGGGAAGGCCCCCCCGTCTGCCCAGTGGTTGGGAGCATTTAGTGGGAAGATTGCTGGGTGGATTTCCGGACCGCCCATATTGTATCCAGTCGCAGGCACATCTTTCTCTTTTCCTCATTTCCCCCAAGCCAAAACAGGGGAGAACAGGCCCTAGACAGCGTGTGACTGTGAGACACATGACGAAAGTAACTATGGAAAGGTGGCTGTTTTCAACTTTTTTTCCCTCTGAAATTTAATATTGAAAAAATTTTTATTTAGAAACAAAAATGCATTATTCTAGTCTCCCAAGTAGTAAAGTGAAAAATGTCAATAGTGGGTTTTTTTTCCCACTTGAGTTTTTTCCATTTGATAAATCATTATTTGTCTGAAGTGGGGTCTCGTTTTTTCCTTTAGGAAATTAGACTAAAGGGAATAAAAGCATTTCTTACTTAGGATCTTCACAACTAGATCAATTTATAAAGCCATAAGGCCTTACGCACTGTAGGTCATTATTCTTGTTAAAAGAAGTCAGACTTGAAAGTATAGTTTTAGGTAGATAAATACATAGATACACAGACACAGATAGAATTAAATATACTAAAAAAGTCCTGTAAATCAATAAAAAATGATAAAAAAAATGAACAAACAACACGAATAGGCATTTTATAGAATAAGAATACTACCGCCAATAAATATATGGAAATATGCTTAATCACCATAATCAGCAACTGCAAATTAAAAGCACGATGACATACTTGTTCTCACCCACCAAACTGGCCTTAAAATGAAAAAGTCTGATAATACCAAGTGTTGTCAATGACGTGGAGCAACAGGAACTCTCGTAACGCTGAGGATACAACAATTTTGGAAAACAATTTGGCATCACTTAGTGAAGTCGACAATGCACAAACCTTGCGAGGCAGCCATTTCACTTCAGAGACTGCCTAGACACATTCTCGTGCCTGGGAACCAGAATAGAGGTACAGACGTTTCATAGGAGTATTGTTGATGACAACAGGAAACAACCCAATTGCTCATCAATTACAGAGTAAGAAAATAAACTGTAGTATCTTTATAAAATGGAATGCTACACAAGAGGAAAACTACTTAATTATAGTTATACATTTAAATGAGATTGAGTAGCAAAAGCTTAACATTGGGCCAAAAAGGAGCTCACAGGAAAGCAGAATAGGATTCATTTATACTAAGATTAAAAATTATATATGTATATGGCAAAACTATAAAGAAAAGCAAGGCATGGACTAATATAATATTCAAGGGGGTTGGTACCTCTGGAGGGGAAAAGAAGGGGAAAGCAGTTGGGATGCTTCACAGGTACCTCAGTGGGAGGTACACAAGAGTTTATTTTATTATTGTTTGTAAAATGAACAAAGAAATGAACATGTAATAAACCCTCAAAAATCTGGAAGGATGTGCATCATTCGTCTCTAAGAGTTAACCATGGGTGAGAGATTTATGGGTGAGCCATACTTACACACATATATATTATTAGTTTTAAAGTAGTTTCCAGAATTTCTATAATGAACAAGTATTAACCGTGTTATTAAAAACACCGAAAGCTAAAACAAATTCCAGATTCCGAATTCTGGACTCCAAGTTCTTGGCCAGGCCTACTGGCCCAAGGTCTTACAGACACACCCTCTTTGGCGATCAGCAGCCAGCTGCAAAACCCTGACCACAGAGATTCGAACAAGCCAGGACCCACACCTGGTCCTCTGTGGACTTTCTGGACCTCTAGTCCCAGGATACAGGGCTTTCTGGGAACAGCTCCATGGCCCCAGAGTGAGCAGGCCAGCCTGCTGGAGCATATTCGTCACCTTCTCTGAACACTGAAACGCTGGCTCCCCAGGTCAGGAATCCTGAGACCATGCAGGCCATGGTGAACTCGTCTTGGTCCAGTGTTCAGCTTTGGTGAACACTTTCTTTACAATTCATTGCCATACTTACAAGGTGCTAATCCGGACCAGCCTGCGTTCTGGACCAAATTTAGTTTATTTGCTGTGGCTGAAGCCTTTGCCGTCCCTGAGCAGCTCCAGGTTCCCGATGGGGAAAGGTCCCCACGTGTGCAGGCAGAGTCAAGGAGAAGAACGTGACTTTCTCCACAGGGAACACTGACGCAGGGATGCCCCTCCACGGCCCATGCCTATCTTTATTCCTTGTTCGAGTAAAATG